TTGTATTTTTGGTTGAGGTCCCGAGGGCCTCGGGGTGATTTCGGATGGCTAACGGGAAGTTTTGAATTAAGAGATTGCAGAACCTGTGCTGCTTCTGGTATTTTCGCTTCTGCGGAATTGGGACCGCAGAAGTGGTACCGCAGAAGCGGTACCGCAGAAGCGAGAGGAGAGACGCAGAAGCGGCAGGGACCACAGGTGCGGAATTGGTGACCGCATCTGCGGAGTCGCAGATGCGACAGGAGGACCGCAGATGCGGTATTTGAGCTCTTATGGGGATCCGCAGATGCGTTAATTTGTCCGCAGAAGCGGGAGGCGCAGGAGCGGATGTTAAACCGCAGAAGCGGATATGTCCGCAGAAGCGGTGCATTGACCGCAAAAGCGGGAGCCGCAGATGCGGCGATGGAGCCGCAGATGCGGAAATAACTGGTCAGAATAGTTTTTATTTCCCTTCGCGAATTTTTGAAAGGGTTTCATATTTTCACTTCGGACTTGGAGAATTTGGGCGAGTTGGAGGAGAGGAATCAAGGGACTTCATTGAGGTAAGAATTTTTAAACCAAAAACACGATTTTATGGTGCAAACACATGAAATTAGACTGAAAACTCAAGGATTTAGGGTCAAAAATGATGGTTTAGGGCTTGAAACCTAAGAGAACAAAAAATGGGAATTTGAGGGGTCATTTGGACTCCGATTTTGGTGTTCTTTATATGTATAGACTCGCGGCGAGATAAGGAATCCGGTGCTGTAAAATTTATAATTTTTCGAGAAGTGGACCCGGGGCTCGGGTTTTGCCAACTTCGTGATTTTCGATGTTTTTCGAGTCTTTTCGATTGGGTTATATTCCCTTAGCATATTGTGACGTATTCGTTGTGGTTTTGGTCAGATTCGACGCGCGAAGAGGTGAATTCGAAAGGCAAGGGTATAGCAAGCTAGGACTCTGGCAGGCTTGAGGTTAGTAATAAATGTAAATGTTGTGTTGAGGGTTTGAAACCCCGAATTTGCACAACGTATTGCTATGTGAGGTGACTTGCACGCCGGATAACGGGCGTGGGGTAGAGCACCGTCGGGGATTGTGACTTGGTCCGTCCCGCTTAATAAAAATTACTACCTATTTGTTTGTAGTTTCGTGATATCCTTATAAAAATGGATTAAATTGTTATCATTGGGCCTTGTGCCAACTACTTGAATCCTTCAGGGATTGTTTTAATGATTTCTTACCATATTCATAAATATTAAACTCAGTCCTAGTATTTAATACTGTTTTGCAAACTCGGCCACCTTTTCTCAAAACTTGGAACTTAAGTAATATTTTTAATGAAATTTAAGCTGAATATTTTTATACTGTTGTGTGATTTTTGGACTGAGTATGGGATCGGGCTGCGCGCCACAGTGGTTTAATAATGATATTGATATGAGGCCAAGGGCCTGTTCGATGTCACGAGATGGCTTATTATTGCGCTTGGGCCGTAAGGGGCCCCTCCTGGTATCTGCACATCCCCAGTGAGCGCCTTCGACGTTAAATAAATGGAGCGGGCTGCACGGCCGCAGCGGGGTACTGGAGGTATCGGTTTTATGTGTTGCATTGCATATTTACTTGTTATTTTCTCTCCTTCTGGTGTGACTTTATTATAACTGTTTTAATGTTTTACCGCATTATGCTATTGATCCACGTTGTGGTATTTATAGCTTTACTTTGTGTTTATTTAGGATTTCTGATCCTCAGACTTTATTTATATTTATTACTTTCTGAGTTGGAAGTACTCACCATACTCCCTGCACCTTGTGTGCAGATTCAGGTACACCACAGGGTGAGTGACGACTCGTGTTAGCTGAGCAGCATTATCCGGGAGTATCAAGGTAGCTGCATGGCGTTCGCAGCTCTGATCTCTCCCATCTATCTTTATTATTTTATTCGTAATTCTCCTAGTCGGATTTGTAATAGGTGGATAATCTGTTTTAGAGGCTCATGTTCGTGACACCAGATTCGGTGGGCTATTTAGTATTTTATTTTGAGGTTTTCGAATGTTAGAGATCTTATCAAAATTTCCGTACTAAATTGGTATTATGGTAGCGAACATTTAATTATTTACATAGGTTATTTGGCTAAGGTTGTGTAAATGGTCGGGCTTGCCTAGCAATGTGTTGGGCGCCATCACGACCGGGGTTTGGGTCGTGACAAGTGAAGTCATTGAAACCTTTGAAAAGTGGTTTTTCTATATCTTTAATAGAGTCTAGTACTTCTAACCATGTCTGAAAAATGCCATTTGTCTTAGCATGTATAACTACATAGTATTTAAATCTTTTTTCTTGGTTTTTGTCTGTAAAATACTGTCCTAAGGCATTAAGAGCCGCTATAAAATATTTAGTGTCTTTTTTATTATATGCTATCCATAAGTTATCAATTAAAAATCTTTGAGGTCTATCTATGACACATTCTGGTAATATTTTAAATGATATGTTTGATGGTGGAAAGAATATTAAATTATGTTTTCCAAAACTTATCCTATCCATATGAGTTTGTTCTGCAAAAGATTGTGGCTTAAAATGAAGATTACCTAATACTGTCTGCAAGTATTTGTCTGAGGGTGAGGCTTGAATGCCCTTTCCCTTGTCTTCAGTCTTGGGAACTGTTGGTCTCATGCTGTACATGTAAAATATTTATTAATTAACAGTAATTTTAAGCCTGCTTAACTGATCTGCTAAATTATTATCTTTTCCTTTAGTATGTTCAAAAACCACATTATATATTGATATAGTATCAATAAAATTTAACCATCTTCTTCTACTACTATTCTTTGCATTTATCTTTTGGTGAAACTTAACTATAGCTTCAAAGTCAGTTCTAATTGTTACTTCTTATTTATTAAATATGTATAATTTAAAACTATTTAATCCGTATATTACAGCTAAAATTTCTGCATCTATACTACTCATATTTCCTTTTTCTCTATATTTACCACTTTGGTAAGCACATATTTTTTCTGTATTCTTATCACTATATTTATTTGGTTTTGCCTTCAAAACTGCTCCCCATCCTTCAAAGCTCCCGCCTGTTTCTATAATTAAGTAGTCTGTGTCTAATGGCATATTTAAATCAGGGATATTTTTTATTTTTTCTTTGATTTTTTGTACTAATTTAATGTCTTCTGTGTTGAAATATTTTTGTCCTGTAGAGCATGTCTTAGCATATAGTGGTCCTGCTATTTTTCCTAAGTCTTTTATAAAATTTCTTGCATGATTTACTATTCCTAAAAACTTTGGTAGTTCTTTAGTATTGTCTAATTTATCTGGCATTTCTAGAGCCTTTTTTTTTGGTAAGTCAAATATTCTTATTGCACAATATCGAATTACATGAATATGAGCATACTGTTCATGTCGATCCACACATCCTCTTCTACTACCTTTCCTGTACTACAAGTTTGTCAATTCTCTAAACAAATTTGTATTGTATTTGTTCTTTGACCTTTTCTACTGCCCTCACATTACAAGTATAAACTATGTCTCTAACAATACTTTGTCTATCTCTGTATCTTTTTTCAAAGATTCTCTGATTCCTTTCTATCCAGATATTGTATAAGACTTCTGCTAGGATCATCTTCATTAGCTGCCCTTCTGTCGATTTCTTCCTGGCCTTCTCCACAAACCAACCTATTATTTGCTCCCATGTTACAACACTTACATGTATTTGTAGCCATTTGTATATGTCCTGCCAGATTTCTTTAATGCTTGAACATTCATAGAACAAGTGTTTATGAGACTCATTTGCACATCCACAGAAAACACATTTTGTGTCCACATTTATACCCCATCTACTCAATCTGTCAGTAGTCATCATCCTCTCTTGTACAATTAGCCACATTGAAAATACTGCCTTTGGTCTAGCAAGATTGTTAAACATAATAGCTTTCCATTCCACCTTCTCCAGCGTGCCCTGCATCTGATTGTATATCTGTTTTATTATGCTGCCTTTGCCATTCTGCTGCAATATTTGAGTTCCTTTAATTGTGAGAATTTTCTGAACCATCCGCTAGCTTGAACAACCCCTTTGAGACTTGCTAAAGGTTGTCCTTTTATATGGTACATATGCACCCATTTAACCCATAATCTATCAGCTTTAGTAGTTAGATCCCATTGCAATTTGAGTATGGCTGCTCGATTCCATTGCTTTAGGTCTATTATGTTAAGGCCACCAGCACTCCTTGGCTTGCATACTTTTTCCCACGAGACTAAAGCTTTCTTGGTTATTTCATTCTTTCCCGACCACATAAAGCTCCTGCAGTAGGCTTCAATTACTTTGATCACTTTAGCAGGTATCATGAACATTTGAGCCCAATACGATTGAACCCCAAATAGCACTGCTTTGATGAGTTGAATTCTGCCAGCATAAGATAGTTTTTTTGCAGTCCATGATGAAATTCTAGCCACAATTTTTTCTATCAAAGGTTGCCACTGAATTACTTTCATCTTCCTGGATGTTAAAGGGACTCCCAGGTATTTGAAAGGTAATTCACCTTTACCATAACCCAACTGCAGCAATTTTTCTTTCTGATCATCTTCATTCACCCCACCAAAATAAACTGAGCTCTTGCTTAAATTGGCTTTAAGCCCAGAAGCTACAGAAAAATCATCAAAACATTGCTTCATCTGTTGCACAGACTGCTTGTCCCCTCTAGTAAACAGCAGCAAATCATCTGCAAAGCTGAGATGAATGATGCCCAATTTCTTGTATTTTGGGTGATACTGGAACTGCTTTTGCTTCTTCAAACCAACTAGCCTTCTACTTAGGTACTCCATCGCAATAGCAAACAGAAATGGTGACATAGGGTCACCCTGCCTAAGCCCTTTGGCAGCTGGAAAGGGTTCAGTTAGTTCACCATTTACCATGATTGAGTAGCTCACACTTTGGATACATGCTGTTATCCACTGGATGAATTTGTGAGGAAACCCCAAGCCTTCCATACTTTGATTTATATAACTCCACTCCACACTATCATATGCTTTCTATAAATCCACTTTGATCATACACCTTGGAGAGACATGCTTCCTTGAATATGCCCTGATCAATTCATGTGCCAAGATTATGTTCTCTGCTCCTTTCCTTCCAGGAATGATACCAGCCTGCGCTCCATCAATAATATCACTCATTACTACCTGAAGCCTTGTTGCCAAAATCTTAGCTATGATCTTGTACAAAACAGAACAGCATGAAATAGGTCTAAAATCTTTGACTGTTATTGGATTAGTGACCTTTGGCAGTAGAGTCACTGTAGTACAGTTTATGATTTTAGGCATATGGCTCGTTTGAAAGAAATCCATAACTGCTTCATACACATCATTCTTCATAATCCCCCAAGCTTTTTTGAAAAATACAGCATTATACCCATCTATGCCCGGTGCTTTGTCATTTCCTATAGCATTCAAGCTATTATCAATTTCCTCCCTAGTGATGCTCTTAACCAACTCTGTAATCTGATGTTGGTTTAACACATGACCATTCTTCATTATACTCATGTTAACTGCTGGCAGTTGCTTTGCTGATGTCCCCATAAGTGATTTATAGAATTCTACAATTTCCTTCTTTATTCCCTTTAGATCAGTTAACACAGTACCATCTATTGCTGTTAGTGTCTTTATGTTTTTCCTGCAAGTTCTCTCCTTCAATACAGCAAAAAAATATTTATTATTCCCATCTCCAGCCTTGATCCATTGAGCCCTTGATTTCTGTTGTGCTATTTTTTCTTCAATGAGAGATCATTTTTCAAGCTGCTCCCTTGCTTCCTTTTCCATCATCCTTAACTGATAAGTATACCTCTTCCCCATTTCCTGTTGACATTCTATTATTTTCCTTTTAGCTTCTTCTATTCTTACAGAAACTTCTCTAAAGTTTTTGTTGTTTAATTCCTTAAAGTCTGTCTTCATATCTTTCAACCTATACCACACATTAACCAGTTTGCATTCATGTTTAATACCATGCCATCTTATAGTAACAATGTTTTGAAACTCATCATGATCTGCCCATACATTCATAAATTTGAATGGGACTTTGATATCATTATTCAATCTTTGGAACTTAATTGTCAAAGGAGAATGATCAGAAATAAAAGGATCTCCCACCTCCACTGTGATATGCCCATACTTCATCATCCAGTCACCATTTCCCATTGCTCTATCAATTCTACTAGTTACTCTGTCACCTCCCATTTGCCCATTAGCCCATGTGAAGTAGTTGCCACTCCATGAGATCTCAGTAACCTTAGTATTAAAACAAAACCCTCCAAAATCCTGAATTTCAGCCATTGTGACTTCATGTCTTGATATTCTGTCCTGAACAGACAGAATTGCATTAAAGTCACCCCATATGAGCCATGCTTGCTTCACTGATTGTGCTACCCTCCTTAGTTTTTGCCACATTCCCTTTCTCAATTCTATGCTATTGAATCCATATACCACAGTCATAGCACACTTGACATTTGTGCTTGTGATATTACAATGAATAAACTGAGCATCAGTATGTAGCGCTTCCACTTGCCAAATGTTAGTATCAAACATAATCCAAATCCTTCCATTACTAGCTTGCTCATAGTTATGAACCATCCCCCAATTCTTTGCTATCTTAGGAATTATACCCTCAGCTTTATGCCTTTTCACTCTAGTCTCTACAATTCCAACAATAGTTATATGATTTGCTTTTATGTATTTGGCCAGTTCCTTCTGCTTATACCTCTGATTTACCCCCCTTATATTCCACATTAGCATTGTCATTTGACTTGTCTACTTGTATCACCCTTATCAGGTGGCTGCTTATCCCCATTTCCTCCTGCTAGTATTCCAAAAGCATTCTGTGTGACTATGGAAAAGTCTCCACATTCTCCAATATTCCTATTACTCTTAGTACTAGCCTTTCTGCTCCCCAGACTGTTCTGCTGCTGTTCTGCAACTTCCACTTCTTTCCCCTTAGTATTAGGAGTTTTATTTTGCTCCACTTCCTTTTCTATACCCATCTTCTCTGCGTTATTCTCTGTATTTTCCTTTATCTCATTCACATTCTGCTGTATTTTCCCCTTACTTCTCCATTCTTTGATTGGTTTCTGTTCTCTAACTCGCTGATTTCTTTGCTGTTTTTCTTGTATTTCTTCATTTCTTTTACAATATGTCCAATCTGCTGGCAATCTACACAGAAATTCGGCTGCCATTCAAACCTTACAGCTTGTTTATGCACTTTTCCATTTGGATCCTGTATAGTAACTTCCTGTGGCAATGGCTTCGTTATATTAACTTCAATCAACATTCTTGCAAATGAGATTCTCGATTGCTTTGCTGTGCACTCACCAGCAAACACAGGTATACCTATTGCACTCCCCAATCTACTCAAAGAATCCTTACTCCAATATGTCATAGGTAAGTTTGGAAATGCCACCCACAGAGGTATCTCTTTGAGAAAAGCAGTATCAAATTCTGCCTCTGGAGACCACCTCTTAAGGATTATAGGTCTGTTATTGATTGTATAAGGTCCACCATACAACATATCCTCCAAGTCAATATCCTCTTTGAATTTAGCTATATAATATCCCTTATCATGCCAAAACAAATCAACACATTTAGACTGATTCCAATTTTTACTGATGTATCTCTTCATGTAATTATACCCCGGAATTTCCCCCATGACAGCCGCAATCAGCGAGTGTTTCCATTTATCAGCCTCTTTTGCCGTTTCAACCGGATCTAATTGAATTACTATATTTCCATCAACTATAGTCGGTAGAATGTAAGACAGAGCCAATCCATTTGATGCCATACGATTTCTAGAAAACAAATTTGCCCTACCGTTTCACCAGCTTCCTTGTTTGTATCTGATTTCTGAGGATCGTCTTGTGCATACTCGATTCCAATTGTTGTTTCACTGCTCTTCAGATTAAAGTTTCCATTGTTCCCTGCCTTCTGATTTTCCTTTATCACTTCATCTTCCTTTCTCTTTCCATCTCCCCTTATTCCTTCTGAATTCATCAAAATACTTCGATTAGCAGTATCCCCGTTCGAATCCACCATTGTTTCTACCTCTGGTGTTATCATGCATGGAATTTGTGAAATCATAGATGTTGATGGAGATGAATTTGATGAAAGTGAGCTTCCCGTAACTAGTATCGTCTTTTTCCTTGGTCGTCCTGGTCCGTTGCCTTTGCCTTTCGCCATTAACAGCCACTATCTCCACCAATTGAGCTTCCGTTTGGAGGAGATTGTTAATTTTCTAGAGCCTTTTTAGCTATATGGGGTTGTAATTTAATTTTTCCATCTCCTAAAACTACTCCTAGAAAATTTATATAATTTTTTTTTTACTAATTATTATTCCATTATCTACAAATAATCTAAATACTGTCTGTAGGTGCCCTAAATGCTCTTTAATATCCTTACTAAATACTAATATATCATCTACATATACTAANAGCTCTCCTCGCAATCATCGAACCAAATGAACGGGGCAGCCTTCTGAGTCAGTCTAGTCAAGGGGGATGCACTGGATGAAAAGCCTTGCACGAATCACCGGTAATAACCTGCTAATCCCAAAAAACTCCTGATCTCGGTCACTGAAGTAGGACGTGGCCAACTCTGGACTGCCTCAATCTTCTTAGGATCTACTTTAATACCTTCTCCGGACACAATATGCCCCAAGAATGCCACTGACTCGAGCCAAAACTCACACTTGGAGAACTTAGCATATAGCTGCTGCTCTCGCAAGGTCTGAAGCACTACTCTCAAATGCTGCTCGTGCTCTCCCAGGCTACGCGAGTATATCAAGATGTTGTCAATGAAGACGATGACAAAGGAATCAATATAAGGCCTGAATACCCTGTTCATCAGATCCATAAATGCCGCCGGGGCATTAGTCAAGCCAAATGACATCACCAGAAACTCATAGTGGCCATATCTAGTCCTGAATGCAGTCTTCGGAACATCTGAATCCCGAATCTTCAGCTGATGATACCCTGACCTCAAGTCAATCTTAGAGAACACCCTAGCACCCTGCAGCTGGTAAAACAAATCATCAATACAGGGCAATGGATACTTGTTCTTGATGGTAACTTTGTTCAACTGGCGGTAATCAATGCACATCCGCATAGTCCCATCTTTCCCTTCTTCACAAACAGCACTGGTGCACCCCAAGGCGATACGCTGGGCCTAACAAACCCCTTTGCTAACAACTCCTCCAATTTCTCCTTAGGAGCCATACGGTACGGTGGGATGGATATAGGCTGAGTGCCTGGAGCCAAATCAATACAGAAATCAATATCATGATCCGGAGGCATGCCAGGAAGATCAGAAGGAAAAACATCGGCGAACTCTCGGACTACCGGCACTGAATCAATCGCCGGAGACTCTGCAGCGGTGTCTCGGACATAAGCCAAATAAGCCAAACACCCTTTCTCAACCATGCGTTGAGCCTTCAGGAAAGAAATCACCCTGCTAGGCGTATCAATTGTGGAACCCTTCCACTCCAATCTCGGAAATCCTGGCATCGCTAGTGAAATTGTCTTGACATGGCAATCAAGGATGGCGTGATACGGAGATAGCCAATACATGCCCAGGATGACCTCAAAATCAATCATATCGAGCAGCAGAAGATCCGCTCTAGTCTCGTAACCACAGAAAGTAACCACACAAGACCGGTAGATCCGATCCACAACCACATAATCACCCACCGGAGTGGACACATGAACAGGAACACCCAAAGGCTCAGGAGAAATAACCAGGAAACGAGCAAACAGAGACGATACATATGAACAAGTGGACCCTGGATCAAATAATACCGATGCATCCCTACCGCCGACCAAAATAATACCTGTGATGACGGCATCTGAGGCCAATGCATCTGGCCTGGCTGGAAGAGCATAGAATCTAGCCGGAGCACCGGCTGTCTGGCCCCTACCTGTCTGAGTGGTCCTGCTATTTTTCCTAAATCTTTTATAAAATTTCTTGCATAATTTACTATTCCTAAAAACTTTTGTAGTTCTTTAGTATTGTCTAATTTATCTGGCATTTCTAGAGCCTTTTTAGCTATATGGGGTTGTAATTTAATTTTTCCATCCCCTAAAGCTACTCCTAGAAAATTGATATAATTTTTACATAGTTCCATTTTCTTTTTACTAGTTATTATTCCATTATCTACAAATAATCTAAATACTGTCTGTAGATGTCCTAAATTCTCTTTAATATCCTTACTAAATACTAATATATCGTCTACATATACTAAAACAAATCTCTTATATTCTCCAAATATACTGTCCATTTTGCGTTGAAAAATTGGTGGAGCTGTTTTTAGTCCGAACGGCATTACCAACCATTCGAAATGCCCTTCTGGACAAGTAAATGCTGTCCATTCAATACTTTCTTCATGCATTTTTACTTGCCAATACCCTGATTTACAATCAAACTTACTGAATATCTTTTTTCCTTGTATTCTATTTATCAGTTTTGTTTTATCAGGTAACTTATATCCGTCTGTCCTAATGTTATCATTAAGTCTCTTATAGTTTATTACCATTCTTGCTTTTCCTCTTATGATTTCACTGTGATTTCTAACCATGAAGGCTGCTGACCTATGTCTAGAAGTAGATCTCCTTATCACTCCTAGGCTCATAAGTTCTTCAATTTGATTTCTAAAGTCTTCTAAATCTTGATTTGTAGCTTCTATTGAGGCTGTTTTAATTATATATTCTGGGTTAATTATATCTAATTTACACATAACTTTATTATTTTCCCAATGTTTTAAAGGCTTCTCTCCTATTATTTCTATTTCATCTAATATTTTTATTATATTATCTAGATCCTTTTTATTTTTTATTATTCCTATTTTTTGTATTCCTATTTTAAAATTATATAATTCTATTTCTATATTTATTAAAGTATAGTCTTTTTCTAATATATCTTTATCTTCATTTTCTTCTAGTATTAAGGTTTTAGATTCTTCTTCTTCCAAAAATTTATCCGTAATTCCTGTCCGTTCATGTTATTTATTATTTCTCTATATTGATCTTCTTCTTTCCTTTTTTATTTATTGAGTGGATTGCAATAATTAGGTAGAATGACAACTTGCCTAGAGGAGCAAAAGAAAAAAAAATGGACAATCAAAGCACAACAATATTAACACGTTTCAAACACTATCTACATATTTGGATATGCTTTGGAATCTCATTTAAAAAGTTAACAGTCGTGCTTTCGACCAACATTTCCAATTCCCTATTCCCTATCATGGCATAATTAAATCACTTTCGTTTTATTTTCCTTCGATTTTCTCTCCGCATAGAAACTACTACAATCTTCTCGGGCGCAAATAATAAATTATAAATGATTTTTTTACACTACAGAACACCTAAAGTATATTTACATATAAGGCTTCTTAGAATGTGAATTTATAATTTTGATAATAAAATAAGTTACTCGCTAGAATAGGTTAGGATAATATGATAGTGCAAAAATACTTATACTAAATATATATATTTAAACTCATTATAAAAAAATAAAAATAAAAAGACTAGGTAAGCTATATGATGGATGATTACAATTTACAAGAACTTGCTTCATTAAGTTGGCTACTATAAACAAATGTAACGGTTTCAATTAATTATTATGTAAAGACTTATAAGTTGAATTTCCGTTATGACTTTGACTCTACTCCAAAAATAAGCAAGTTAGAGCTCTGTATATACATTAACCTTCCCCCCCCCCCCCCCCAAACCCAAAAAAAAATTAAAAAAAAAAGAGTTAAACATCTTCAAATATTTTAATTACTTCATTTGACCAGATTTGCATACATTTCATTCTGATATATGATAATTAATCAAACATCTACGATTCCAAAATAACTAATTTTATTTTGCTTTAATATCTTTTACAACTAAAATGTAATAAAACTCGCTTACTACTTGATCACGCCCAACTATGCCTTAGAAAAAGGACTCTGCGGACGTTGCAAATATAACCCGAGTATTACGCCCAGGGTCGAATC